GTTGTGTGGCAGTTACTTGGAATACTCTTGCAAACCACGATGAAAATCTTGTAACAGTTAAATTTCTGTTCTGTCCTGCAGCATCAGATAACAACACAATAGTTTTAGTGGTAGAAAATTTACTTATTTATATTTTATTACAATCAGATAAAAAGATACCACAGAGTTAGGATTTTTCTTTCTATCACACTGTGTAAATATATAGCAATAAATAATTGATGGATTCGACCGTTACTTGATGGAAATTCATTTTATGTAACAATAAAACACTGAAAACTTTGTTTTCAAACTTCCACAAAATTTATTTTAAATATTATCACTACAGCTGTTTCGGCTGATTGCCTTTCTCAAGTGATCTATTTTGGCTTGGGTTTACAAATTTATAGTATCTAATGAAATAGGTTGAGGAGGGGAGAACTGTTTGTCTCAAGTTGGTCATTCAGAATTATATCTGTGTTTTTTAATTTGTTAATTTCCATAGATTCTAACAAAGATAGCTTAAGGCCTTTATTTTGAATGTGAAGAATTTTAAATTTGTCATTAAAAGAATGATTATGATCTAGAAGGTGAAGTGCGTATGTCGAATCTGTTTTTCTATTCTTGAAAGCCCTTTTATGTTCTGCTATTCGTTTATCAAAGTTTCTACCAGTTTGACCGATGTAAGTTTTTGGGCAGTCGCCACATTGACCAAAAACTGCCCAAAAACTTACATCGGTCAAACTGGTAGAAACTTTGATAAACGAATAGCAGAACATAAAAGGGCTTTCAAGAATAGAAAAACAGATTCGACATACGCACTTCACCTTCTAGATCATAATCATTCTTTTAATGACAAATTTAAAATTCTTCACATTCAAAATAAAGGCCTTAAGCTATCTTTGTTAGAATCTATGGAAATTAACAAATTAAAAAACACAGATATAATTCTGAATGACCAACTTGAGACAAACAGTTCTCCCCTCCTCAACCTATTTCATTAGAGACTATAAATTTGTAAACCCAAGCCAAAATAGATCACTTGAGAAAGGCAATCAGCCGAAACAGCTGTAGTGATAATATTTAAAATAAATTTTGTGGAAGTTTGAAAACAAAGTTTTCAGTGTTTTATTGTTACATATAGCAATAACTAGAGTTGTTGTTAAACACAGAAACAGTACAACCAAAACATTCTTTTGTGAAATTGAATATGGACATTTAGCTTTGGTATTGGAAAATTTTAAGAATAGCTGAACTCCAAAACTAGGTGCAATGGGTTTTCTTCTTTGGATTTAGCAATATACATATCAAGCAGTTCTTTGCTTTTATTTGCTCTCTGTTTGTGGATTTAAAAAAGGGGCATACATGGGTCTTGACATTTAGCTTGATCTTACATACTTGAAAATAATCGCATACATCTGTTTTAGGTTTGTGAACAGAATAGGAAAACTTAGTTTTAAAGTATTGATAATATGTTTTATAAGACATCTTGAGAGTTTCCTTTTTTCTTTATTTGAAAAAGGCCTGGAACAACAACATACAATGATTTTATATTTAATAAAGTATTGTCAAAATATTGCAAATTACTCTTGTTTCCACATTAATGACTTTCATCATGGGATATACTAGTCAAGTGCTCCCCCATTAACACAACAACGTCATGTGAAATGTTTCTGGACCTATTAGAATGTTTTCCTGTGTGTTCTTTAAATGAATCACCCACCAGGATATTTTTTTTACTAATACGTATGGGTTTTATTGAAATTTGAAACAAGTCCAAAATAAACTTGTGACACAATGAAACAGTGTTTCCTCTTAAAGACATACGATAGACCCAGGTATGATCTCTTTGTTTTTTTTTGTTAAGAGGTTTCCTTCTAGTTTTTGGATCTTTAGCCAGGTACATACAGGAGATAACTGAATAACTCTTATCAGAATAACAACACCGATACTTTGACCTCACATAATATGGCAAGTGGCCCAAACAAATGAGAAGCGATAAATAGCTCTCTATACAAAACACCTGCAAAAACGGTTTATACACAATCACATGTCTGAAAAAACGCCCTGCACACTAATATTCAAACAGTTCCACCAACTTCATTTTTAAAGATAAATACATGAAAGTTATACCATTGTAAGGTGAAGAACATGGCGGACCTAAATAGCCTGTGTGAAAAGGGCACATAAGCCTATGTGCCTTTCTAACGTCGACCGCCTAAATTAATTTCATCTGCTAATTTATTCATTTTGTATTTAATTTGTTATACTTATGTAAATGCTCCTATACATGTATTTCACAATTTTAAGGTTGAGTTTGGGCTGTACTAGAAGCTATTTGTAAATTTATTCTCAAAGGTAGCCCCCCACAGTCCTTCAACCCACACACCAACGGCCTGATTTAAATTCTCGATTGTACAGTAGTTAGTTTCTTATGTTAGTACATTTTGCACGATTTTCATATGCTTAAAAAGTTGTAAAAATAATGGCAACACACGGACGAATATCGTTTGACTTTAAATGACCTTTTTTATGAGTTTTATTACATTCCTGACAAATAGACCCCCTGCATATCTTACAGAAGTAACAAAAATCACTTAAACGTGCTTTCGAACATTTTCTTTATTTGAATTAATGTTTTAAAGTGATGAAATTAGGGCTGATATACGCAGATGAAAAGTCACTTACAAAAGATTGTTGAGAACTACAGAAATAAAACGTATTAAGAACCTTAAGATGTTTTCTCTTAGAGATATAATAAGGAATTTGAATATATTAACAGAAACTGCAGTCCAGAAGAGATCATGTCAACAGAATGGACCAAAGAACTGCGAAATGGGCGAAAATACATAAACCCAAAACAAAAAGACCACTAGGACGACCCGGAAGAGGTGGATATCAACATCACACGAGCTGGGATGATAAAATAAACAGGATCATGTTCTACAAGAAGAAAAAGGAGAATAAGTATTTTTAAAAGTTAGGTTATGTTTATATTTTTTTTTATTTATTTTATGAGAGTGACTAATCATCCAAACGAGGGAAAAACATTCCATGCGCTATCTTAATTATGATTTTTTTTTCGATGTCTCTTTTTATATATAAGAAGTTGGTTTGGATGGTGGTAGCCGCAGACCATATTTTGTTACTAAAGGTATTTACCTGTTTTTAATAATAAACTTGAATGGAAAACACAATATATAATAAAAGTTGGGAATTTATTGTAAAAACTATGGTAACTTAATGATTTATTGATTTTTTATATAATTAATTTAAAAATAATTTAGGTATTACAATATTAATAAAAATATGTTTCTATTCTTTTATTATCAATTTACTAATAGTTAAACATACAGATTAGATACGAACAAAATTATTATTAACCTTCCAATAGTCGCGCACGGCCCCGCAGTCCGGGTCAAAGTTCCATTTCTGATTTTGGCGAAAGTGGGGAAGCTAAGAAACTCGGGAGCACAGTACCTTCCCAACTATCTTAAAGGAACATTAAGCGTTAGTGTGATAAATTTTGCGTTTACATTTGAACAGTTAAAAATCAAACGGTCTGTGAAACCGGGGCACAGTGGGACGAACCGCTGAAAACGTGCCCAAAAATCTAAATGTATATCAATTTCGATATAAATGTGTACTACAAGGTTTTAAACCTTCGTGATTGCGAATTTTATGTCAAAATTGAAAAATTCAAAATGGCCGATCGAGTGTGGTGGACCAGATTTCATATATTTGGACTTAAATAGGCACTATAAAGTTATTGAGCTCGTTGATTAAGAATTGTATGTCAAAGTTGAAAAATTCAAAATGGCGGACCAAATTTCATAAAATTTAAATTGGACATTCTTCAGGTTCATCTTCAAAATTCCTAATAGGAAAGGATGGGGCATTGTGAATCATCTAAGGAAGATATGCACATATAGTGAAACCAGAAATATTTTTTTTTGTTTAATTACTTAGGAATATTCATGAAACATTTAACTGTCATTTAGTTGCAATTGAATGGAACTACTGGGAAAAATCAAACTATTTCATTACCTAATGGCTATATTTTGCAAATAAAATCAAGGAAAAAGTATTAGATATAGTAAAAATAGATAGGTACATAATATAATTATTCAGAAATACAAAATTCATACTGAAATTCTTCATCATCTTCTGGATATATTCCCACACATGCTTCATGAGTCCATGCCAGACAAACCGAGCAACTTACCCATCCTTCTTCATCGGCTCATGGGGAAAACTACTTGTTACAGTACAAACATTCAGTATCTTCATCATGTACATGATGGTTACATTTATTTTTTTCTTTCCCTTACCATCTTTTATTTTATATATCATTAATTTTTTTCCTAGCTTCTCCTTTTTCATTGTTTCTTTTGCCTCCTTCGTATTTATTTCAAGTTCTAACTCTAGCTTATACGGATTAGATGTCAGTACAGCTGATTTACCTTCTTTAGATTTCCTCTTTGGTTCCATTAATCTACTTCTCTTTGGCAGGCTCTGAACTGTGCTGGAGTCTAAGGCTAACTGAGCTAGCCCTAACTTAGTTAGCCCTAGACTCCAGCACAGATCAGAGGTAATGTAAGTCGACAAAATTTCACCAGCTCCTGGGGGCCATGTTAGGTACCCCCAGTTGTAGTTTTTATTAATTACCGAAGTTATTTACCTTTGTAAATTCCACGAGGATTGTTTTTGTTACCGATGTTCTTCTAGTGTTTTTCTGCGGCCAAACAATGTTTTAACAACTTTTTATTAAACGGAATGATTTACTTCCGAAAAGATCTTCTTTAAAATAAAGTTTTAAGCTTTTAATAAGCATTTTTTATACCTTGATACACACTAACACCATGTGCTTTGTATTAACAGGTATACTAGCCACTACTGGATATCTCCACTTCATGGTTTTGTTCCAGTTTCACTTTTAAGTTTAAAATTATGTTTCATTTTGCAAAATCATCAAATTTATATCAAAAGAACATGGGTGTAATTATGATTAAAATACGGAAGATACAAATACATATTTAATGCCATTTATATTACAAAATAGTATTTTTTTATTTCCATGCACTGGTCCACATCCCATACATCTAAAAAAGATTAACAAGAATTAAACCATAATAAATAAAAATATTACCTAGAGCTAAGATAAACTACATTTTTTTTATTAATCAAAATTTTTGCTATTTCCATTTTATAATATTGTGTTTAAGTGCTTGTTTGATGTAGATAGTAAATGGTTAAAAGATAATTAAGGTAAATGCTGTCTTGAGTTCCTTCGTGTTCCTCGAAGACCTCGTTCGAAAAACAAGACAACCGATCTGAGGGATCAAAAATGCCAGTGCGGAATATAATATACATCACCAACAAATAAGTACCGATTTCTTCAATATTATGAGTTTAATAATAAATCAGAAGACACTTTTTAACCAATACTTTATATAAATGTATGTTGTAAAAAAGATTGATGAAAGTAGTGACAATTTCGGTCACCAGGTTCGTTTAAACCAACATTAACTTTCTAGTCAAAACAACGTCCAATATATCTACCTAAAGTTAATACTGAAAATAAACGGATGTGACTACTATCCCAGCGTACGAGTTTTCGCTAAGTAAATTTACAAACAATGTTTGTGATGGTGTTCTTGTTCTGATAATATATATTTATTGGTTACCGTTATTATTTATTTGATATAGATTTATAATACAAAAAGAATGAGTAAGCAAATATATGTAGGATTATGAATTTCTGTATGTTAAAGTTGCCAGTGACATCAATAGTAACAGAAATTTAAAAAATGTTGTTTATGCCAGCTGCATTAAGTGATTTAAAATGAAAGTAAACTTAATGAATTCAAATATATTCAGATATTTGTTTGATACTTTACTTTGAACTTCTAATATGAAGTTCGTTTGTTTGGACTTCTAATTTGAATTTATCGTCACCATTTTAACTTTTTTATCAAGGTAGGAGAAGAGACTGATAAGTGATAACTTTCATGTAAAGGTAGGATTACATCAGGGCTCAGTGCTAAGTCCATATCCATTTTCATTAGTATTTGATGAGATAAAAGAGTGCCAAGGAGTCATTGCTTGGTGTTTAATGTGTGCAGACCATGTGGTGTTAGTAGGTAAAATTGAAAGGGAATTACAAAAAAGATTAAGGTGGAGACAGTGTCTGGAAGGAGAAGGTTTAAAATTGAGTAGGTCAAAAACGGATTTTTTAGAATGTCCATTTAAAGATGAAGTTATAAATCCCAATAGGGTGGTAAATCTGGGCAATGGGTCTAACCTGAAAAGTGATACATTTAAGTACTTAGGATCTGTACTGCAGAGCAACGGGGAGATAGATGGAGATGCCCGCAGTAGAGAAAGAGCTGGCTGGATGAAGGCGAGTGGTGTATTGTGCAACAGAAAAATTCCTATGAAACTAAAAGATACATTTTACAGGACGGCAGTGAGACCAGCTAGAAATAAGAGCAAAGATGATGATTTGGACTTCATATTTGAAACAGTTTTAGTGATAAAATAAAATATCAAAACCCTGTAGAAAAATCGTTTATTTTAACAACAATTTTTATTGGTTATAAGCTAAATTCATATTGATTTCATTCCTACCATTTACAATTGACAATTTATTTACATTTAGCCCAAATTCGAAGTACCCGAAATACCTCATGACCATGCTCTCGTAAAAGTTTATCAATAACATAAACATTTTCTTTTCTATTCATTTTGGCAAGTTGTAACAATTCAGACATTGTAAGTGTTTGAAATTACTTATTTACTAATTATTTCATTGTGATTGAAGAGTCAGAATATATTTAAATATTACCGAAACATAAAAATGAATACAAAAACTAAAAAATCTCGTTTAACACTACTTACTTGAAATCCTACGACAGCTCTCAAATTATTAATATTTTCTTTGGTTTACGTTATTTTTCATCCTTCTTCTTCCCTCGTATGGGCGGGGAGTGTATTATGATATTTTTAGTACTTTATTGACATTCACACATAGAGCTACTAGCATCGTTTAGTCCTCTTAGATGGAAATTTATTGAAATATTTTTGTTTATTTAAAGATTTCATTTTTGAGCTGCTAACTCACATTCTTATCTTTTTAATCTCTAAAAACAACGCAATTTTAGTAATCCAGCTATGGTAAATTTATATTTAGATCGGTATGTGTCTGTTTCCTTTCATATATGTGTAGTGCATTTATTCTTCTTCGAACACAACATCCTAAATGGACGTTCATCATTCTGGCTAATATAAGTTACTTTACAGTGGATCTGAATAGTTCTAATATTTTACTAATCCACTGTTTCAAACGAGATTCGCTGATATACAAATAATAAAATGAATTGATTTAAGGTATCTCGATATAATCACCTTGAAGGGATATATCTAAATAATGCATATAAATAAATACGATACAGAATTGGGACTCCAGGCAATTTAGTATTTCATCCCATGTTAAAACTGTGTACTTCTTTGGATTGTCTGTATACACATTGATTATTTCATTAATCTGTGACGATTATAATTATTTCAATTCAATTTTTCTCAATTCAGTTTTTATATATAACTATAATCTTTCAATTTATTCGCAATAATAATCATGAGAGCAGACCAATAGATTCGTTTGCAGTGCTTGAATTAGTCATTTAAGATTGTATCAGCCCGATCATTTTCAAGCCGGTTTGTTTATCTCAAACTGCGCGTACCATACAGCGAAGGAGACCGATAGCCCATGCCGTGGGGGAAAAAGGGTGATTTTACACTGTAATCCAGGAATTTATTTGAGATTTTTTCATTTTTTACCTAAAGTAAGTGTTGTAAGGCGTAATTTCTGTATAGATTATGAAAGTACTCTAAAAGACCTTCAATTTGAGCCGGTATACGTTCAATTTAATTTATTTGTTATTGTAAAAATGACGAATGAAGGTCAAAATTAAAAAACGTAATATTTATTGCAAAATTGCCTTTTTTTATTTCAAATACCACTACCACTACTTCTATTCTATACTACCACTATTTTTGTCAATCCTATGAGCATTCAAAGTTGAAGGTCGTGGGATAAACTAATTAACGTATCTCAGCAACAAATTAAGCGATCTAGGCCTATTATGGCTCATTCGATTCGTAATTTTATAGGCTTGAATGTAATATATTTGAAATAAAAAAAAAGCAATTTTGCAATAAATATTACGTTTTTTAATTTTGACTTTCATTCGTCAGTTCTGCAATAAAAAATAAATTAAATTGAACGTATACCGGCTTATAAAGGCTTTTAGAGTACTTTCATATTCTATACAGAAATTACTCATTACAACTCTTACTTTGGGCAGAAAATGAAAAAAACTCAAAAAATACGTATTTTGCACCTATAAACGCTCATAAATAAACAATAATCAAACATTTTTGATGAATGAACTAAGGGATTGCTTCTGAGGTTGCCCTTTATAATCTAGGCCACATTACAAAAATTCCTGGATTTCAGTGTAAAATCACCCTTTTTTCCCCCACAGCCTGGGCTATACAGATTGAACCAAATTAAAACGAAACATACAATTTAATACATGTCTGTTTGAACTGCATTTAAAATAGTGGACCAATATAAAACTTGGACAAAAATAAATCCATACCTGGGTATAGACATTGTATAAAATATCGTTCAACTATCTGTCTCGCAACAAAGTTGTTTGCGTAAGACGGGTTTGTTTATGGAGGCGATAATAGTTCAGGAAATGAAGCTCGAAAAAAGTTAAAACCTCGCAATTTTTTCGTACTGCATGTATCCAGTTGAAATTTTAGCAGAAGGTAGGTAATAGCCCGAGGATCAAAATCTATATCGAACCGAAGTGCGCTGAAGGGTTTTAGGGGTGAAAACTACCCCTAATTGTCAAAAATTATAAAATAACATATTAGACCTGAATATGGGTAAGATTTGGTTTGAATTAGTTAAATAATGATTATTTTATACTTTTGAATAGAGTTCCATCATATTTCAACCCTTAAAAAGCAACCCTTGTTAGAGATTAATGCAAAAAATTACTAATTCTAAAAAAATGATTTCGCCTTGGATCGATTTGGATTTAAGCTCAATTCACCCGCTGCTTTATAGTTTATGTCATGTCGATAAACCCTGATTGTTCTTAGGGGTGAGAACTACCCCTAATTGTCAAAAATTATAAAATAACATATTAAACCTGAATATGGGTAAAATTTGGTTTGAATTAATTAAATAATGATAGTTTCGTGCTTTTGAATAAAGTTCCATCAGATTTCAACCCTTAAAAAACGACCCTTATTAGAGATTAATATAAAAAATTAGTAATGCGAAGAAAATGATTTTACCTTGGAACGATTTGCATAAAAATTTGGAATTAAGCTCAACTCACCCTCTGCTTTATAGTTTATGTCATGCCGATGAACCCTGATTGTTCTTAGGGGTGAAAACTACCCTTAATCTTAAAAAATTGTAAAATAATATTACAAATCTTAAGATGAGTGAAATTTGGTTTGGATTAATTAAATAGTGAGTTTTTTATACTTTAAAATACAAATTCATATATTTTCAACCCTTAAAAATCAATTGTTATGAGTGCTATAGGTGAAAACAATTTTTTGACAAAATTTTGCAACTTTTCAACCTTTGAAAATCACCCTTTACAACATTGCAGTTTTTATAAACTAATTTATAAGATATAAATTGAAAAAAGTAGAATTAAATACAAAAAAAAATTATCAACATAAATAGGCACCATATATTCTTATACATTTACATAAATAGTTGAAAATATTTACATTTATAGGTAAAAGAATTATAATATTAATTTTATTCGTCATCAATTACATCTTCATCGTGATCTATGTCATCCTCATCTTCTTCAATTATTGGTGGACTGTTATTGCACCCTTCACCTGAGCACCCAGAACAAGTAGAGTTACAGTATAAACCAACTTTTCTGCACCCATATGAAACGCCGCATCTTTTTTTGCATTGGCAAAAAATAATTTTCAAAAATTTATCGGGTGCAGGTTGTTTGTTCATGCGTACGGGTAATAACAAACCATCTTTGGAATACCATCCCCAATCTGTTGCTCTGATATTTTCATTGCCAAGCCATAGACATATGAGCAGTTGTTTTATTCTGTTGTATGGGATTTCAAAATAAGAACGCTTAAAATTTCGAATGTATAACGCCCCACTAGCTAATATACCGGTTTTGTAGATTATTATGCTCCGAAATGTACTGTACTATACTAATGGAATTTTCCGGAAAAAAACCAACTGGTTTTTTAACGTATTTCCTTTAATTTTTAACCATAGAGTGTTTCTTCAAAAACGATTTGTAGAGGTTTTTATTAGTTACAAGGATCTGTAAATTAAATCTTTTTGGAACCCTTGGTTTTTAAATGGGGTGAGTTTAAAGGGCTCGAAAAAGATGGTGCTTGATCGTAAATCGATGCTTTAAACGGCTATATCTCGCCAAATATTCATTGTGCAACCAATCTAAATAAAGTAAAATTTTAGTTATTAAAAAAGCTACAATTTGGTAATTTTTATTTTTTTCATATATTCAGTATTTTCGGGCATATTTAAAAAAAGAAGGGTAAAAAATATGAAATTGTAAATCGTTTCTCGCTTTAAGCTGTACATTTTCTAAAACTAAGCATTTTTAATGAGTCAAACTTCTTGGACGTATTAACAATACATCTACAAAGGGAATTGCAGAAGGGTGAAGATCGATTTTAATTATGGGGGTGGTTAGGGTGTTGTTTTCCTCGATTTTTTCGTAAAAAATGAGGTATTGACCTTATTTTTTTATGATAGGTCTATTTATGCTCTTTAAAAAAGGTTTTGTGAGTTTTCTTCCAAAAATGCACCATTTTCCCGATATTTGACTTTGAATCTTTCAAATTTGGCATTTGAAGAAAACCGCTGAACATTGATATTGTATTTGTAATTGTATTTGTCTTTTTAAAAGCTACAAATTTGTTCTCTACAATGTTTTTGATAAAATGCACCATTTTCGAGTTATTCGCGAAAAATCGATTAAAAACGTGGATTTTTTCGTCTAAAAGTTGTTACTTTCAATCGCGAATAACTTGAAAAATTTCATTTTATAAAAAAAAGTATAGCACATTTTTTGTTTAGAATCACTTTTCTTATCGAAACCTGTAGTAAAAACGTAAAAAAAATTTTCACCCCGGAGATGGGGTGGCAACCACCCCCTAGGCTTTGGTGCACTTTGGTTCGATATAGATTTTGATCCTTAGGCTATTACCTACCTTCTGTTAAATTTCAAGTCAATCCACGCCGCAGGAAAAAATTGCGAGGTGAAATGCTACATTTCCTGGACTATACCTGGTTTGACAGCATAATAAAATCGTAGATTTATGTGTAGCTTTCAATTTTTATGAGTTCAGAATCCAGCAGCCCGCTGAAGTATGGGATTTTTTATAATATAATTATTTGACAATCTTTTGTTGGCCAACCAGCTACAGCAGAATTGAGCCGAAATACATTATATTCCTATGTTCCGAATTTATTTCGTTCAATCTGTAGATCTTCCGACTCGTAGCGTACGGTTACGGTACGTACGGGTGGTAGCTTGAAAGGCAGCGAAGAGTGCCGCTGTGCTGGGTAGGGTGATGCCCAACATTGGGGGATCCAAATCAGAAAGGAGGAGGGCCTTAGATGGTATTGTGCAGTCCATCATCTTGTACGGCACCTGTGTGGAGTAGGGCGGTAGAGATACTGACCTACAAAGGGCTCATGATACGAGTATGATGCGAGTAGCATGCGCCTATCGCGCCATGTATCTGCGGGAGCCTTGTGGTCACGGGTTAGGTTCTTCTGTATGTGTTGGCAGTAGAACGGAGACATACAGATTGAACGAAATAAATTCGGAACATAGGAATATAATGTATTTCGGCTCAATTCTGCTGTATTTGGTTGGCCAACAAAAGATTGTCAAATAATTATATTATAAAAATCCAATACTTCAGCGGGCTGCTGAATTCTGAACTGAAATTGAAAGCTACACATAAATCTACGATTTTATTATGCTGTCAAACCACTTATAGTCCAGGAAATGAAGCATTTCACCTCGCATTTTTTTCGTGCTGCGTGGGTTGACTTGAAATTTAACAGAAGGTAGGTAATAGCCTAAGGATCAAAATCTATATCGAACCAAAGTGCGCCAAAGCCTGGGGTGGTTGCCACCCCATCTCCGGGGTGAAATTTTTTTTTACGTTTTAACTACAGGTTTCGATTAAAAAAGTGATTCTAGACAAAAAGTGTGCTATATATTTTTTTTATAAAATGATATTTTTCAAGTTATTCGCGATTGAAAGTAACAACTTTTAGACGAAAAAAATCCACGTTTTTAATCGATTTTTCGCGAATAACTCGAAAATGGTGCATTTTATCAAAAAAATTGTAGAGAACAAATTTGTAGCTTTTAAAAAGACAAATACAATTCATTTTTTAAAATGTTTTTGCGATATAATAGGAACCGAAATACGGCCTATCAATGTTCAGCGCTTTTCTTCAAATGCCAAATTTGAAAGATTCAAAGTCAGATATCGGGAAAATGATGCATTTTTGGAAGAAAACTCACAAAACCTTTTTTAAACAGCATAAACAGACCTATCATAAAAAAATACTTTAGCTCAAAAATTGAGTGAGTTATAATGAAAATAAGGTCAATACCTCATTTTTTACGAAAAAATCGATGAAAACAACCCCCTAACCACAACCATAATTAAAATCGATCTTCACCCTTCTGCAATTCCCTTTGTACATGTATTGTTAATACGTTCAAGAAGTTTGACTCATTTAAAATGCTTAGTTTTAGAAAAAGTACAGCTTAAAGCGAGAAACGATTTACAATTTCATATTTTTTACCCTTCTTTTTTTAAATATGCCCGAAAATACTGAATATATGAAAAAAATAAAAATTACCAAATTGTAGCTTTTTTAATGACTAAAATTATCCTTTATTTAGAGTTGTTGTACAATGAATATTTGGCGAGATATAGCCGTTTAAAGCATCGATTTAAGATCAAGCACCATCTTTTTCGGGCCCTTTAAACTCACCCCATTTAAAAACCAAGGGTTCCAAAAAGATTTAATTCACAGATCCTTGTAGCTCTTAAAAACCTCTACAAATCGTTTTTGAAGAAACACTCTATCGTTAAAAATTAAAGGAAATACGTTAAAAAAAACCAGTTAATTTTTTTCCGGAAAATTCCATTAGTATAGTACAGTACATTTCGGAGCATAATAATCTACAAAACCGGTGTATTAGCTAGTGGGGCGTTATACATTCGAAATTGTAAGCGTTCTTATTTTGAAATCCCATACAACAGAATAAAACATCTGCTCATGTGTCTATGGCTTGGCAATAAAAATATCAGAGCAACAGATTGGGGATGGTATTCCAAAGATGGTTTGTTATTACCCGTACGCATGAACAAACAACCTGCACCCGATGAACTTTTGAAAATTACTTTTTGCCAATGCAAAAAAGGATGCGGCGTTTCATGTGGGTGCAGAAAAGTTGGTTTATACTGTAACTCTACTTGTTCTGGGTGCTCAGGTGAAGGGTGTAATAACAGTCCACCAATAATTGAAGAAGATGAGGATGACATAGATCACGATGAATATGTAATTGATGACGAATAAAATTAATATTATAATTGTTTTACCTATAAATGTAAATATTTCCAACTATTTATGTAAATGTATAAGAATATAATTATGGTGCCTTTTTATGTTGATAAATTTTTTTGTATTTAATTCTACTTTTTTCAATTTATATCTTATAAATTAGTTTATAAAAACTGCAATGTTGTAAAGGGTGATTTTCAAAAGTTGAAAAGTTGCAAAATTTTGGCAAAAAATTGTTTTCACCTATAGCACTCATAACAATTGATTTTTAAGGGTAGAAAATGTATGAATTTGTATTTTAAAGTATAAAAAAATCACTATTTAACTAATCCACACCAAATTTCACTCATCTTAAGATTTGTAATATTATTTTACAATTTTTGAAAATTAGGGGTAGTTTTCAGCCCTAAGAACAATCAGGGTTCATCGGCATGACATAAACTATAAAGCAGAGGGTGAGTTGAGCTTAATTCCAAATTTTTCGCATTACTAATTTTTCTATATTAATCTCTAATAAGGGTCGCTTTTTAAGGGTTGATATATGATGGAACTTTATTCAAAAGCACGAAACTATCATTATTTAATTAATTCAAACCAAATTTTACTCATATTCAGGTTTAATATGTTATTTTATAATTTTTGACAATTAGGGGTAGTTTTCACCCCTAAGAACAATCAGGGTTCGTCGACATGACATAAACTATAAAGCAGCGGGTGAATTGAGCTTAAATCCAAATTTTTATCCAAATCGATCCAAGACGAAATCATTTTTTTAGAATTAGTAATTTTTTTACATTAATCTCTAACAAGGGTTGCTTTTTAAGGGTTGAAATATGATGGAACTCTATTCAAAAGTATAAAATAATCATTATTTAACTAATTCAAATCAAATTTTACCCATATTCAGGTTTAATATGTTATTTTATAATTTTTGACAATTAGGGGTAGTTTTCACCCCTAAAACCCTTCAGCGCACTTCGGTTCGATATAGATTTTGATCCTTGGGCTATCACCTACCTTCTGTTAAAATTTCAACTGGATAAATGCAGGACGAAAAAATTGCGAAGTTTTAACTTTTTTCGACCTTCATTTCCTGAACTATTATCGCTTGCTTAGACAAACCCGTCTTACGCAAACAACATTGTTACGAGACAGATAGTTGAACGATATTTTATACAATGTCTATACCCAGGTATGGATTTATTTTTGTCCAAGTTTTATATTGGTCCACTATTTCAAATGCAGTTCAAACAGACATGTATTAAATTGTATGTTCCGTTTTAATTTGGTTCAATCTGTATACGGATCTTCATAGGTTTAGAAAGACATATACAGACAAATGCTTATACTGCGAAAACTCAGACACTGTTACACAATGCTGGAGTGTAGTAGATGAAAAGTGGACAGAAACAGGTATGAACCCTATGACTGTGTAAGAAATAATAGTAAAGATGACGGGAAGTAAGGAGGGATGGAATAGTGTGCACAATTACATAAGACAGTCATTAAGAAGAAAGAAGAGAAACAACAGTCGAACCAACGACAGAGATAAGATCTAGATAAGAGAAGGGAGTGTTCCGAAAGTGTCGTCATCCTTACAGCGACCGTCCGACTTTCGGAGTACGATACGTGCAACAGTCAACTGCGCACAAGTAGGAGAGGGTGGTTTTAGTTGGAAGGCAGGATAACAGGAAGACATCCGTTCACAGGACCTCCTCCTAGGGGGAAAGGGGTTTGGATGTACTTCTCTACCCTGCATCCAACACATGCCAGCCATCCATAGGGATGGGTTAACCTGTTACGGTTTTTAGAAAATTTCCACATTCAGAAAAAGCAGTGTCTTTGTTACTGATGAAGTAAGACCAATTTTCTGTATAGGATTTCTGAAATCGGTGAAAAGTGTCCTTTTTTTCAGTAAATGTATGTTACTTTCCCAAAGAAACACCCTGTATATCAAGATGAATGAAAGTTGTAAGATATACATAATATTTTTATTGTTTATGCATTTCCTATAAGTACTAAAATAGAAAAGGATGGAAATTATATTAATAACAAAATATATATCACAGAATATTTAATGGTTATACATTACCTTGAATGACCACTTTCCATAACGATAGTTGTTGTTGAAGTGGGTTTATCGAAAATCTCGTGACTACTAGGTTATATTTGTCGTTAGTATTTGCGAAAACACATATTAATCTACGAAGTATCTTGCCTTGTAGATGTTGCTAAGGAATCTAACTCATGAGAATAAGATTCATCAAAAAATTCCTCTTGAGATAAACAAAGTGGTTCTGGCAAAACTATTTCAGCATGCCTATTAGCTCCAAAACCATTACGCTTGCAACAATTTTCTACAGGACCCACAATAGCAAGCATGGATCCCAACATGCACGTAGAATAAATCCAACTGACTACCATAACTAACGCGAGGAAAATGCCCATTTGAACGTAAGGAAGAACTATGGACGGTATCATGAATGCTCCGGCGGATCCAGTTGTTACTGCAGCCATGAATGAGGGTCCAGCCATGTGATTGAGAGCATACCTAGTAGCTGCTTTTCTATCGCTGCTAACATCTTTAGGACATCGACGATAGTTGATTGCATAATGTAAACTGAAATCCACAGTCAAACCTATAGCTGTAGAAAGTGCTGTAGATTCAAGAACGTTCAATTGCCAGCCTAATAAAACTAGACACGCCATCGTAACAACAATGGCCGATGATATGGCAAAAATTGAATAAAGACTTATGAGAACACTTCTTGTAGAACAAAATAATACTGCTAGGGCGAGCACTAATGATATTCCAACAGCTACTTCAGTGCTTCTCCGAAGCTCTCTTTGTAAATCATAAAATCCTAAGTCGCTAATAAACCACCCGTCTTTAATAGCTTTTGGAGCAGCTTCCATTTTCTTTGTCATCCATTCGGTAACATCTTGGTAAAAATGATTCATATCGTCAAATGACATACTATAAATAAAATTGCTGTCATATTCTACAACCGCAACTTTTATAGTTGCATTCTGATCTTTAGAAAATATTGGCCCTGATGAAAATGAACCAGCAAACACATTAGGAGTTTTATAAATATCAGCAATTTCTTCCAAAATACATTTATCAAAAACGTCTCTGCCAAACGGAAATTTTGATGCATTACAGCATGGGGTCCTATTTTTACCAGAAAATCCATCCTCGCATTTTATATCCATCGAGTTCATAAACGTTTCCAAAAAGCAATTCAGTAAAAGAGGACCCTGCGTCAAATGATAGAAATTTTGAGACCTCAACTCTCGGCAAAACTCCACAAACCATACCTGGATACTTGGGGCAGTTATGTCAAATTTACTATCTTCCTCTAGTGTTCCCAAATCTGTTGGATCCAATGAGCGACCATTATCTTCAGCCTTCACTCCGAAGACAAATCTCATAGGCATTCGGTACTCCATCTAAAAATTATTAACTCAATTTAAAGATATATACATTTTGAATTTTTTTCTTTGACACAGAAAGAAAGTTGGTGAGGAGTAAGGGAGAAGAAAAACAACAATTAAAACGAACAACAGCACTGTTCAAAGCATATAAAGCAGGAGTGCAGCTCTTGGTTAACATCCAGACATCTCTGTGTTAGGACGTTTAAGGCAAAGAGAGTTTCTCTTGTCCCTAATCCTTTTCTGAATCCTATCTGTGAATCGTTGATATCGATATCTAACTTTTGATAGATTCGGTTGTGGATGACTCTAAGAAATATTTTAAGCAGATTACTCATCAAGAAGATTGTTCGACGATCTGAACATTTCATTGCCTTAGTTTTCTTCTCTATGGTGACAAACGTAGACAGCAACCATTCTTGAGGTATTATACCAGTACTGTATATTCTTAAAAAATTGAGCGAAATTTACAAGGCCTTAAAAAAGATGAAGAATAACAAAGCTCCGGGGAGGACGGTGTCGTCACGGAAGCGATAAAGATAGGAGGCTCAGTACTGATAGCCAAAATTCAAAAGCTCTTTAATCTATGCCTATGGAATCAAAATATCCCAACAAAGTGGAATAATTCAATAACTGTACTGTTACACAAAAAGGGAGATATAGCAGACCTGGAAAGATACAGACCAATCAGTCTCCTTAACCATCTTTATAAATTATACACCCGAATAATAACGAATAGATTAGAGACAAAGCTGGATTTTTACCAACCTCGGGAACAAGCTGGTTTCCGCCCTAATTACGGCACAAACGATCACCTGCAGTGCCTAAAAACCCTAATAGAAAAAACTAACGAATATAACCGTCCCTTGGCATTGATATTTGTAGACTTTAAAAAGGCGTTTGATACAGTGGAACTACCGTCCATCTTAAGAGCACTACAAGATTGCAGGATCGACCACAGATATTGTAATATAATTAAAAATATATATATGAAAATGCCACAACAACCATAAGTCTATATTCTGCAACTAATAAAATAAAGATAAAAAGGGGAGTCAGGCAAGGTGATACCATGTCACCAAAGCTGTTCATTACCGTTCTTGAGTATGCATTTAAAAAACTAACATGGCAACAGAAAGGAATATCCATCGATGGAGAAAGATTAAACCATTTACGTTTTGCGGACGATATCGTGCTTCTGTCAGATAATCTGGGAGAGATCAAAGACATGCTCCAAGAACTGAATGACATACTACAAGAAACTGGGCTGGAGATAAATTTCGAGAAAACCAAAATGATGACCAATATGGTTCCCAGCGAAGAGATACAGATCAATAACAACAAGGTAGAATTAATCGATAAATACACATACTTGGGTCATGAAATTAGAATAACCAGAGACAACCAAACCTGCGAGCTAAATAGACGAATCATGTTGGGATGGGCGGCATATGGACGGATGAGAGACATTTTTAAAACAAATATCCCAATTCACCTGAAAAGGAAGGCATTTAACCAATGCATCTTACCAGTCTTGACCTACGGAGCAGAGACCTTAACTTTAACGAAAGCTACTGCCGAAAAACTGAGGGTAACACAAAGGCGAATGGAGAGATCAATGCTGGGCCTGACATGGAAAGATCGCGTAAGAAATGAGGAGATACGCCGACGAACTGGCGTAGACGATATTATACTGCGAATCAATAAACAAAAGTGGAGGTGGGCTGGACATGTTGCTAGAATGGAAGACGGAAGATGGACGAAGAGATTATTGGAGTGGAGACCAAGAGCCGACAAGCGAAGTCGAGGCAGACCACCCACCCGATGGACCGACGACGAGGAGAATAGAAACAAACTGGATTGCAGCAGCTAGAGATAGAGAGAACTGGAGACGTTTGGAGGAGGCCTATATCCAACAATGGATGTGAAAATTCGGCTGGATGATGATGATGATGTATATTCTATTGAATAGATGTAATATTATGGTTACGGATTTATCATTCAAAAGCTTCCACAGTTCTGTAGGAATTTCATCAGGTCCATTTGCTTTTCCATTTTTAGCGTTTCTTATTGCGTATTCTACTTCTTCTTTCAATATGTCTGGCCAAGTTGCATTGATTATCTGAGTTAAGTTGTTTCTATCGTCTTCAAATAATTCATTCAGGTATTCTGTCCATCTTTTTATTTTTTTCTCTAGATCTACAATAAGATTTCCATCTTTGTCTTTAAGTTTACCTATTTGGCATTTCTTTATGCTTCCTGTTATCTCTTTTACTTTTTTGTGCATATTAAACGTATCGTACATTTTCTCATAGGTTTCCATTTCTTCACAGTGTTCTTAATCCACGCCTCTTTGGCTTCTTTTATTCTCTTTTTTATGTGTTTGTTTATTTCTTTGTATTTGTCTAGGTAATTCTTCATTTTTCTTCTTTGTTCCATCAAGTCTAGTATATCTTGTGTCATCCACCCCTTATTCTTTGTTGTTGTTTCTGTAAGATATTTCTTTCCCGCTGTTTGTATAGCTGTATTTATGTATTTTAATTTTTAGTTAACGTTATTTGTATCGTTAATTTGTTGGTGCACTGAACGGAGGTTTTCATTTATTTCTTCTTCTGTTTCTTGTCGTATATTTTTTTTCTAAGTTTATTTAAATCTAGTGCCTTTCTGTGTGGTCTTCTAATCTTTTTTGGTCTCGCCTCTATCACAGTAACTACCGGGTTACGATCTGAGCCTATATCAGCTCCTGGGTACGTCTTAGTGCATTTAACAGCATTACGATACCTCCTTGCTATCATAATGTAGTCTATTTGATTTCTCACTATTTTTACTTTGGTGTGTTCTATGGATTTCCATGTATGTAACCGACGAGGAGGTAATTTGAAAAAGGTGTTTGTTATTAGTAACCTTAGTTTTGAACTATTACTTAGAAACCAAAGGTTATTAACCTATACGGGGAAATGTTTGGTCTATCTGCAAGAATGGTTTATTAAAATGAATATATATGATGAAAAATTAAGCGGATATCATGGTAGTTACAAAGTGTATTAAATATACAAAGTAAACACCAATACTTACCATTTCCTTGGTCACAAACCAGTATTGCGTTTTATATACAAAGTCATATTGCTCAAATGGATGAGATCTCTTAAAAAGTTGAAATTCACTGCTATTTGGAAACTCTATTTTTGGGTATAAAAACAAAACAATCAAACCAGCAATCATTAATATAAACAGCAACAAAAACCAAATATATCGGTGCTGAATAATCGACTCTGTTAGGACGTTCTCTTGGACTGTAATATAATCTTTCGGATTTAATTTACATCTGTCGACCAATGATCTTCGGAATAACTTTTTGAATAAGAAGGTTGTATATGATTTTTTTGAAAATCTAGAATTTTCGTAAAGCACTACAAATGCAGGAAACCATGTTATCATCAAAATAAAGTTTGTTATTACAGCCACCCCAGTAAATAAACTAAAAAAGAAAAAACATTTATTAGTCCAGTTTATTATGCTGGAAAAGTACCGAGTGGTCCAACAAGCCGATCTCTCGGCTACACATCAGAAACTATTCATGTTATAACTTTAGGAGAAAAAATTCCTTAGTAAAAATGATCAAGAGAAATCGCTGGAAATAACTTTCGAGTTTCTGGGTTAACTGCTAGAGAGCACCTGTGAAGAAAAATTTGAAATCCAGTTTTTTGTGAAATATGCCCAATTATACCAAGTGTTATAAATAAGTAAACTAGAAAGAGGCCTAAATTCCGCACAAAGTTGTTCAAGTATTTTTTTTCAAATAAAGGGTGGGGGAGAGTGGGAAAGTATTTGTGAATAAATACCTATAACTTTGGTTTGGATCAACCAATTTTAACTAAATACGTGTCATTAAATCAATCAATCATCAAGAGTGTAATGATTTAATTAACATCTACTATAAAACAATTGCATTTAGTTTTAATTGTCATGCGTAGAGGGTACTTTCGAATAGAAAAAATTAAAATTTGTTTTTCTTTAAAATGTTTAATGGAAACACCTATTTATTGTAAATTATAATGGAACTGGATTAAATTCGTAACAAAATAGCGCAAATCGCATGTTGATAGCTTTTGTCGAACTCGAAATATAAATAAAAACGCATAAACATAATTAAGTATAGTATTGACTCACCCTTTATTATAACTTAAAATTAAATATGTGAAAGATCATACAAATATCTCGATCATTAAAACTTAATGTCCAATTAAATGTTTAAATTGTTTTCCATCGTTGTCCACACAAAGATGTAATCTTTCGCGCGTAGACATAACAGCTGCTTCAATCTCAGCTGTTGATATACTATTTCTTGCGTTTATAATGCGCTGTTTCATGTCGTCTCTCGAGGTTGGTCGAGTTTGATACACTAAGTCTTTCAATCTTCCCCACAGAAAAAAGTCCAGACATGTTAAGTCTGGAGATCTAGCTGGTCATGAAAATATACTTCCCCTTCCAATCCATTTATTTAAAAAACTTACATACAAATAATCTCGAACTCGTCTGGAAAAGTGCGCAGGACACCCTTCATGTTGTAATATCATATCTCCTCTTGTTTGTAAAGAAATATCTTCCCATAAAACAGGCAACTGATTTTCCAGATAATCCAAATATGTGTCACCACTTAAAGTTCTATCAAAGAAATACGGACCTACGATCTTTCCATCAACTATACCACACCAAACATTAAGACTCCATCTACCTTGAACCTGCACCTCATGTATCCAGTGCGGATTTTCTTCAGCCCAATAATGCATATTATGCAGATTAACACCACCCGCACTATTAAACGTAGCCTCGTTTGTCCACAAAATCTTTGGATATGATATGCGGTTGTTCTTCTAGCAGACCTAACATCCAATTGCAGGAATCCAGGCTAGCATCAGGAAACAGATAAAAGGATAAAAGCGCGGTGTTGCCGTTTTTATCGAAATATTAAAATAACAGTTGAATCTAAAGTTTAAAGGGAATTTCCAGTTTCTGAACTAAACGTTCACTTTATAATATGAAAAACCAACCCGTGATGTTTTAAAATCCTTCGAACGATAGTTTTGGGTATGTTTAATTCTATAGAGATTTGCCGACTACTTATATGTGGATTCTGTTGAATTAAAGCAAGAACATTGATTTAATTATCTTCGGTCCTACCTCTACTACGTCGTTTTAAACAAGGACGATGAAAACTACCAGTTTCTCTCAATCTTCTTGCCTTTCTTTCAAATACTTCTTTGCCATAATATTTCCTGTCAGGATATCTTACAGAATATATAGGTGAGGCAATAGCGGCATTTTGGTGACATTCGAAATAAACTCCAATCATATCATATAATTCTGCATTTGATATACTCATCACGAATTATTAGTACTGATAATTAATTACTAATATTACCAATATTAATATCTATTGAAAATAGTGCAATCTTCAATTCGAATTATAATATAACACTTCTTAACAATGTTTTGACTGCTGTCAATAAATAAACAATATGAACTCCCCGTCAAATTCATTGTCGTAGCCTACTTAGTTTCGAAAAAACTATTTTTAATCATATGAAATAACAATTATTGTCAAAATAGGTATCAACATTAAGATTCTTCTGCTATAAAAAACTCTGAAAGTACCTACTGATTTATTTTTTTATTTAACTTATAATACAGGGTGAATCAATACTATACTTATTTATGTTTATGCGTTTTTATTCATATCTCGAGTTCGACAAAAGCTATTAACATGCGGTTTGCGCCATTTTGTTACGCATTTAATCCAGTTCCAATATAATTTACAATAAATAGGTGTTTCCATTAAACATTTTGAAGAAAAACAAATTTTAACTTTTTCTATTCGAAAGTACCCTCTACCTATGACAATTAAAACTAAATGCAATTATTTTATAGTAGATGTAAATTAATTCATCCACACTCTTTCTAATGACACTAATTTCGTTAAAATCGGTTGATCCAAAACAAAGTTATAGGTATTTATCCACAAATACTTTCCCACTCTATCCCAACCTTTATTAAAAAAAACACTTAAACAACTTTGAGCAGAATTTAGGTCTTTTTCTAGTTTACTTATTTAACACTTGGTATAATTGGGCATATTTCCCAAAAAAACTGGTTTTCAAAGTTTTCTTCATAGGTTATGCCCCCTAGCGGTTAACCCAGAAACTTGAAAGTTATTTCCAGCGATTTCTCTTGGCCACTTTTACTAAGCAATTTTTTCTCCTAAAGTTGAATGAATAAATAAATAAACATGAATAGTTCCTGATATATAGCCGAGAGATAGGCTTATTGGACCACCCGGTACAATTTACCAGAAGGGAAAAGGAAGGAACAAGTGACGTCATGCAATTTGATTTGTGTTCGTTGCCACGTGACTTGATAATAATTTAATTACATTTTAATTATAAAATAAAAAAAACTACCAGTGTTTTACATTTTCTATTGCGGAAACTACCGTTTTCGTCAAAATTCCTATTGTTTAATAGACTAATTTTTGTGTCGCTAGAGAGTAACATAAGACTTAGGTATTACGACGAGGAGATGTCACATAACGGAGGAGGAAATATGCTTTGTGTGAAAAAACATAGCGAATAGCAAATTTAGTCCCGAACAAGAAATCAAAAAATTTCACGACGGAAAACGATCAAATATGTATTGCCAAAAATGGAATATTTACCTAAAACAGCTAACAGCTGTGACGTAACTAGCATAAGAACCTAAAAATGCAACTGCAGTAGTTAAAGTTGTGACGAAAAGTGTGACTAATGCATGCCTAAATGTAGTACTCATCATAAGTTCCAAAGAAGCTTCATTATCACAGTTTTCCATTTTTTGGAGATTCCAAATTTTGCAAAGTATGAAAGCATCGTCAGATCCAATTCCTAAAAGTAGATATTAATAATAATTAGACTTATGCAAATATGCAAAATGCATATATTGCATATTTTATGTAAATATCTGGAGACTTAACATATTAATACAAAATATTGCATAAAATGCATAAACGTTAATTTATTTCGAATTGCGGATTTTAAATATTTATCTAACTGTAGATAATGGAAGTAACTGGATTAAGTAACTGACAATTCCAATGTTCACATTATTTCAATATTTCAGTATTCAATAATATCTATAGTTACTATCTAATATTCTTGATATTGTTGTATCAGGTCTCTTTTTGTCCGTGTGTATGAAGAGGTGGTGGGTGTCTGTGAGTTTGTCTTCTCTCCAAATGGATGCAACAAGTTTTATTATGTATTTTTAAGGGCGTTTGCTCCATACTTGAACAGCTCAGGGGGTATACCATCTTCTCCAGGGATTTGTTTTTAAACTTTTTATTGCCTTGGCAACTTCTTCTTCTGTTCCTCTCCTAATAAGTGATGTAGTACCACTAAGTGCCCCCTTTTTAAATTAATGTCTGTTTTGTCTTTTTGATTGTTTTCCGTTTGTCCGTAAGTGTTTTTGATGGTCCTTAATTGTTTTAAATTTAATATATTTGACATCACAATGTTCTGCCGAAACAGACACCAAATTCAATTTATCAAAATTCGATTATTACAAGTTGGAGCAATTGCACACCCACAAATTATACATCTACCTTCATTCATTGTCATATAACTATCCTTTTAATAAATAATTCAATAAATTAACACACATTTCTAAAGTATACCTATGGAATAAATGTAAATAACTTTTAAATAATATAAAACATAACTTTCTTTTAACAAACAATTACACAATACCAACCTCCTATTTCCTTGGTTAATATCTCTCCCCTCAAGAACTTCCCCGCTTGTTGTTCAATTGTCAAACAGTTACAATAAAATCGATGATCACCCATCACCAGAAATCCAGGATACTTTGAACTATGTTTTCCAAATCACTAACTAATAATTCTTGTACCGGCCTGTAAGTAGTATTTTGGATATTTACTAATTTATTTCAATTCAATAGATTATCTTATACCAATTTCTGGGTTTTTACTTTGTCTGCTTCATCAATTTTTATTCATATTAATAATTACAGACATATAATATTGGCATACTTGCTGTAATTTTTATCTTTATAAGACAGCACCCTAATGTGGGTTTTTGTAATTTCAGCATTTAATTTACTTGGTACCATTCGACCTGAAGATGTATAGCAAATTGCAGTATGCGAAACCGGTAGTTTTGGTGGTAAAATTAAATTGATTGTGATATGGACTAACACAGGCAACACATTCATGATTTAATCAAATTCAGTTTTAAAAAGCCAATGTAGTGAAAATCTAATATTATAAGAGTTAATACTTACCTAGAACAACTACAACTGTCAGAAGATTCATGAACGGAAAGAAATTGATGTCCAAAACCACTGCATACACAAAATAAGCTATGTTCAATGTCATAAAAATTATAACTGCCGATACTAATGTGAGGATTAATGATTCAGTGTAAAACCAAATGCAACAGAAGACAAAGAGTGCTCCAGCTAAAACCAAGTAGAGATCCCACACTAAATATTCGTCAAAAAGAGAATCTTTTATTCCCATATCCATTGCTACTATTTTAAATCCATTATATGTCAAATCTGACTTTATAAGTTCCCGATAATATGGCATAATAGCTGTACTACTTGCAAGTGGAAGGAAGACCATGGTGTGTATAACTTTCGTATCGTTTGAAGTTCCCTAGAACAAAATATTTCAGATATTCTAGTTGAACAGTTATTTTTTATACATTTTATTAAGGTTTGATACGTGATTTTTTAAGTACATTTAAAACAGGCCTGATCCGTTTGTTCCCCTGACATTAAAATAAAAAAATTAGCAAATACGCCACTCAAATCCTCAAAATTATCTAAAGAAGCTCATACCACGCAAAACGCTGTTTAAGTTTTGGAAACAATCGGTAATCGCTGGATATTAAATCTGGAGGATATGATGGATTTTTACCTAATTTAAATTGTACTAGAGCAGCTCTTGCAATCACAAACCTATAACCTGATGCAATTATTTGTGCCACTACTTTTGTTATAGCGTCATGTAATTTTGGAAGTAAATTAGTATCTCTCTTCAGTTCTGACCCCCCGGAGGGAATGTAGTGGTCATCGTGATGTTGTGTATTGTCTGTCTCAAAAGACCTCTGTCTCTGGTCATTTATTTTAACTCATGCATAGGTCATTTGCATATGTCTGTAATTTGATCAATCCATATTGCTGGGATCTTCCTCGTGATCTTCGGCATTATTTGACCTATGGTCAGTCCACGGAATTCGTAACATTCTTGTCCAATAGAACATTTCAGTGGTGTCTATCTTTCTTCTTTCCACTTGTCGTAGGATCCAAGATTCACATCCGTATGCCAGTATAGGCAATATTAAGCAGTTGATCAACCTTATTTTTACAGTTCGTGGTTACATAAAACATAATCAACAAAATATAGATTAATATAAAAAAGATATGCAATATAGAGCGTCTCTGAACCCCGTCGGTCCTCATTCCTTGTAGTCTTTTATAAAGTAAATAATCATTTAGGTTGTAAACGCATAATTGGATCAAGCACTATTTTAATTTATTTTTGAATTTTTGAATATTATTTTCATTTCTCATATTAAGTGGTAAACAATTGTAAAATTTAGATCCTGCAAAATCAGGACTAGTTTCAAAAAGAGTTGTGGAGTGTTTACAAACGCTTATCAACCTGCCGTGTCTTGTGGGGTAATTATGAAAGTCAGAGTTGAGGGTAAAATTTTGAAATTTAGTTTTGACGTGAATAATACACTTATAAATATATAAAGCATGGAAAGTCAACAGTCTGTGTTCAATAAAATATTTACGACATGATTCTCTATTATCAATATTGAATATCAATCTAAGAATTCTCTTTTGAGTTATAAAAACTCTAGAAGAGTTCATAGAGTCTCCCCATAAGATAACCCCTTTTGGGTTTCTTCAAAGGAGGGATTTTTGACGGACCTGTCCGCTGTGATATAGATCTCTTCTTTATGCTGGTCTTCCCGTATGATGTTTAGAACGTCCCTAAAATACTTTTTCCATTCTTCAGTTACTTCTTTACCGTCGATTATCATACGGCCTTGATTATCTCTCAGTGTATGGATGGAATTGGTTCTATGTCCTATTTTCTCAGAGGAAATTGCTTTATAGAATTCTCTGGAGCCTGGTTTGAGCCGGTCTCTCTCCATAGCTTCATATTTTTGTTGTTAATAGTTTCTCTTCTTTGTGCGGATTATTTTTCTTGTATCTTTCCGGCAGTCGTCATATTCCTTTTTACTTTGTTCTGTTTGCAGTTGTATCCAAGTCTTCCTTACTGTTTGTCTTTTTTCCAGCTATTTCAGACATTCCTCGTCATACCATGTTTTTGCCCTCTTCTGCCTACTTCTTCCAAAGATCTTGTCCACTGTCCGGTTATTATTTCGGCAGTTGTTTCCCACAGATGTTCTATATCAATGTATTCTCTTATAGAGTTGAATAAATATAATATAATAAAATAAACAAACATGGTTGACTTTATTAGCATATTATTAGCTGCTGCAGTTTCTGTGAGTCTTAAACCATATAATGTAATGTAATGAAAAGCACATGTATCGGACAAAAGTGCGAGGAGACCGGAGATATTATAGTCATGCGTTTCAACAGTACCAAACACTCATTAGAGTAGACATTTAGTTGAAATTTCAACAGCTACTTACGTGAGTAAATACACTACTTACATTTGCAGGCAGGAATGTAATAGGATTGATGTAGTTAAAAACATTGAATACAGAATCATATAATCGGCACTCTAGAGGAACTACTTCCGATCCACTCGCCAATTCTGATGAATGAAAGTATGTCGAACAATTTGCTAAATAGGTTTTTACGAATTCCACATCTTTTTGCTGTAAAATAAAGAATATATATATATATATATATATATATATATATATATATATATATAAAACGTTTTTATTAGTACTATACTAAGAGTATAACCAATGTTAAATGTAAGAGCCTAACAAAGAAAGTTGAAGAAATCAGGAAAATACACAAACGTAAGAGAAAAATGTTAGGTAGAAACTTTATCACTAGAAAATGGTCTCAGACTAAACATATTGGGACCGTGCAAGTTCGGAAGAGCGACACCTGGTAACGTAAATCAGCAAAATTTACTGCGATTTCATGTTAGATCGAGGTTACTGGATAACTGTCAAGGACGTAACCCCAAAAAAGAATAAGAAGAAAAAGTAAGATTGAGGTTATGTCGGTATGCTATTAAAAGGTAAACGTTGTATGTAGTGTAAATACAAATAAATATATTATTAAATTACAGCATTACTGTTAATATGGATGCAATAATAAAAACTTGATTTGAGAAAGTAAATCACCAAATAACTTTTCAACTAAGCACTGAGTCAAATGGAAAAGCTTTAGTAGTGGCAAATGTCAAAAAAGAATGGAAGAATTATGTGGAAGAATTAAGAAAAATAAATTACCATAAATAATGCTAATGCATTATGATATCATCATATTGGTTTGAACAATTAATTCTTTCCCTGTAAACTTTTGGACAGCGAATATATCTTAATGCATCTTCAGAAAAACTTGAACTTGATGCATTTTTGTAAACTTCAAAAAAATAAAATTTAAACATTAAACTTGATTTTTGGATTAAAATGAACTCTAAGTGAGTGTTATGAAACTAAAATTTACATTTAAAAGTGAACTTTTATTGATTATTTATTTCAAACTGACTTTAAAATCGGGCGCAAGAATAATGCATAATTTAGGTTATGTTACTTATGCTTTTTTATGATATAAATCCACTTTTCTCTTTGTAGTAATTTGTGCTTCGAAGTTGGAAACGAATAAAACTTAAATTGACAATTTTTTGTTGTATTTTTACAATTTATAACACAGCATTTCCTAAATCCCATTTTCTTGAGTGACAGAAGGTGTAAATAAACAAACGAATATGAAATATGACAATTGACAATATGAATTTATGAAATCTATGAAATTTGCAGTAAAAAATACAAGATTTCTCCGCTACTCGCGCACGATCGTTTCTCGTATCACATCCAAGTACTTGCACGTCGCCAATAGCTTAAATTTGTTATCGTCTCTAAGAAAAACATAAATTACAGTCTACAAATTAATAAAAAAACCTATTTATGAGTCTACATTACAAAAAATCGATGCTATTGTCTTTAAACTAAAAATACATACCTTGATTTTGTTACAGGACGATTTTAGGCTGAAGTAGGCGACATAGTTTGTAAGTGACCATGGTATGCAAGGTTTCTTGTTGTTATCTTGGACGCACAGCTCTTTGTAATGTTTAATTTTTGTGAGTTTCTTCTGTAAGTGACATAACTTTATTAGATCTTCCGCGTTGAAAAGATCATGGCCATCCTCTGAAGCAATCACAAGTTTAGCATATTGCGAATCTGAAATGGAACAATACATTGAATTCGTATGACTCACACTTGTAGCGGGTAGGAACTCCTCTGGATAATCCTATTAGGGAAAATGAATCAATCCCATATTTTAATGCAAAAATGGAACAAAAGAAGAGGGCGACACACAATATATCGGTCGCTTTGGACTGGACAGCAGGAACGAAAGGGGTGAGATGTTGGACAACTACTTAAACAACGAAAATTTATTTTGTCTCAACACTTTCTTTAAAAAATCTAATAAACGTAAATGGACATGGATCAGCCCAGACAAGAAAACTTAGAAAGTATTGACTACATACTCTCCAATAACAAAAACATATGCTCCGACGGAGGAGTGACCATAGATTGGTTAGAGCGAATATTAAAATACAGAGGAGAGTAGAACGAAACAAACTTATTAAACGAGAACGATACTCAACCACCGATGCCTTGAGATCGTAGGCTTCCACGGCCAGAGTCAGAATTATAATTTATTCGTCTTCCTGGTTTGGACCGTGTCATTTGTGAGTGACCCAAAAGTGGGTTCATCTCGACGTTTCGCTACAATTGTATGTAGCTTCTTCAGGAGAACAAAGAAAAAGAAAACAAAAGACAGGAAGATGGGTAGTTAGCAACGGTAACTCAGTTACTCAACGCAACCAGAGGCGAATACTAACTACCAAGATGGGCATTTGGTCACAGTAACTCAACTACTCAACGCAGCCAGAGGTGAAAACCAAATGCCAGGACAAGGATTCACGTCCAACAGCTCAGAACACTAACGCGTCGAGAGGCGGGGAGTGAATCCGACGATTACTCCGCTACCGCTCTATTTATAGTCGCGGTGACCTGTCGTGTCGGGACGTATCGGCACACTCCGTGGCGCGAACGTCAAGAAGCGCGCGCTGGCCAATCATGTGGCTGCATCGTGGTAGCGGGACCGGACGGAGGCTCTAGACTGAGATTCCAGATGGGAGACAAGTAGTATCCTTCCTCTCGATTGATGTTATGTGGATTTTTTCGGATCTCTAGAGATTCGCGCATTTTCCTGGAATAAAAGAAGGGGCTCTTAGAAATAATATGGGTTTTTTCGAACAATATGGAACGACCGGTATCTTGGCAGTGTTCTGCAACTGCAGAATGGGAGAAAAGACCTGATCGAATGCATCTTTGATGCTCTTGAATCCGAGTTTTGACGGAACGACCAGTTTCGCCAATATACACATGTCCACATGAACAAGGAATAGAATAGACACCACAGGAAGATAGGGGCGGTAATGGGTCCTTAGGAGAGGGTAGATATTGTGAGATTTTCTTGGGTGGTCGAAAAGTAGTCCTGATACCTTCTTTGCGAAGAATTTTGCCAATCCTATCAGTGACATTTCGAATATACGGAAGAAAAGCTACAGGAGTATTACCCGAAGATTCTGAATTTGTCGTCCTAGGGTGTAAAGGGGGATGTAGATGTCGGTGTGTAATATTTTGAATTGTGGACTTGGAGTAACCGTTGGCGACAAGGGTTTTTTGCAGATGGCCAAGTTCTTCTCTAAGGTTGTCGGGTCAGAAATCGAAATGGCCCGATGGATGAGAGAGTTGATCACAGAATTCTTTTGGGCAGGACGGTGGTATGATGAAGCATGTAGGTAACGATTCGTGTGAGTCTTTTTTCTATAAACAGAGTGACCCAGTCGGCCATTGGGCTTGGAGGTGACTAACACATCGAGAAAGGGAAGGGACCGATTATTTTCTACTTCCATTGTGAATTTTATACTCGGATGTTGTGAGTTAAGATGATCTAGGAAGGGAGAAAGGGTATGTTGACCATGGGGCCAGATAATAAATGTATCATCAACGTAGCGGAACCAGACTTTTGGTTTTAAGGGGTAAGATTCTAGGGCTAAAGACTCAAAGGCTTCCATGAAAATGTCAGCAATGACAGGGGAAAGGGGAGAACCCATTGGTGTTCCAGATATTTGTTTGTAGAAATTGCCTCTAAAAGAAAAATATGTTGAAAGGAGGCATTTTTCCGCAAGATCTGCCAAAACCAAAGACTTGTTATCATTGGTCAAGTGATCTCGCAGAACAACTAGAGAGTCATGTATGGGGATATTGGTAAATAGGGATGATGCATCGAAACTGACGAGAATGTCTTGGGGATCGACCGTGAGGGAGGAGATTAAGGTGATGAAATGTGTGGAATTTCGGACATAAGAAGAGGTACGACCAGTATAGGTCTTAAACTGATTCGACAAGTACTTTGCGAGTTTGTAGGTAGGAGAGTTAATCGTAGTCACAATGGGACGAAGAGGTACGTTGTCTTTATGGATATTGGGAAGACCGTAAATTCTGGGGCAGATGGAGTTTTTCGGAACTATGGACTTCTTAACATCATCGGAAAGATCGGATTGTTTGATGGCATGGGAAATTTCGCGTTCGACTCTAGGAGTGGGGTCTCGAGAAATTGTATTATAACGGGATGTATCCCTAAGTAAGTCGTTTACTTTCTCTATGTAGGAAGGAGTATCCAGGATGACTGTGGCATTACCTTTGTCTGCAGGAAGGATTATTATCTCAGAAAGAGAACGGAGATTTTTGAGAGCTATGAATTCCTCACGAGATATATTGGAAGTAGGGATTTTGGCTGTATCAAGACATTTAGCGACGTCAAAGCGGATACGGTCGGCTGGAATTTGGGAATTGTGCGGAGTGCCGCTTCCACATTTGAAACAATTTCTTCGGTAGGAATTCTGGAAGGAGTGATAGCAAAATTAAGACCTTTAGATAGAAGACTGCTTTCTGCACTTGTTAATTGGTGAGAAGAAAGATTAACGACGGTGTTAGTAAGAGGTGAATGAGAAGTAGAAGTGGTGGAATGTGATTTTTTCTTAGATACAAGGGATTGGAATTTCTTTTTGTGAGTTTTGTTGCTTAGAAGAAGGATTTTATCGGCTTGATGATAGGAAATGCGGTCTAAAAGTGACCAATCATCGACACTAAGAATACTGGAGAGTTCAAGATGCAGCTTAAAAAGTTTTTGGGATTGAAAATTAAGGGTTTTTCGAATATGTTGAATCCGTTCACGAAGTAGAGATAGGCTGGCTCGATGTAGAATTCGGGAAGAAGATGAAGAGGAAATGTGATGTTTTAGAACAAGAAAATTGGGAACCAAGTTATTATCACGACATCTAGAGAGGAAGGTGAGCGAAGAAAGTAGAGATGAAACTTTAGAGCGAAGATTGGAGAACTCTGAGGTTTTGCGGAATATAACCTCCCCGTAGAGGTTGGTCAAATGAGATCGTAGGCTTCCACGGCCAGAGTCAGAATTATAATTTATTCGTCTTCCGGGTTTGGACCGTGTCATTTGTGAGTGACCCAAAAGTGGGTTCATCTCGACGTTTCGCTACAATTGTATGTAGCTTCTTCAGGAGAACAAAGAAAAAGAAGAAAAAGAAAACAAAAGACAGGAAGATGGGTAGTTAGCAACGGTAACTCAGTTACTCAACGCAACCAGAGGCGAATACTAACTACCAAGATGGGCATTTGGTCACAGTAACTCAACTCGCAGCCAGAGGTGAAAACCAAATGCCAGAACGTCGAGATGGACCCACTTTTGGGTCACTCACAAATGACACGGTCCAAACCCGGAAGACGAATAAATTATAACACCGATGCCTTGTTTCAAAAACAAACGGAATACCAAAAAGAGCTAAGCACAAGTATAAAATCAATAGACACTGAAACAAGTAGATATAAACGGACTAAACTCTCCCATATATAGATATAATCTCCCAAACTATTTACCCTTGCTCTAGAAGAGATTTTTAAGAAACTAGAATGGAACAACAAGAGTATCAACGTCGACGGATCGTACTTAAACCACTTGAGATTCGCAGATGACATAGTTTTAATAGCCGATAATATCCAAGAACTAAATGATATGTTACAACAATTAAATGCAGTTTCAGGAGCGGTAGGCTTAAAAATGAACTACAGTAAAACAAAAAATCTGAGAAGAGACCAAACTATCATACAATAGAAAATGTTGAACAATATGTATATCTGGGTCATGTCATCAAACTAAGAAAACCAAATCAAGATGCTGAAATTAAAAAAAGAACACAACTGGCATGGGGCGCTTTCGGCAAACTAGCATATATCTTGAAAAACACCTCCATTCCTGTAAACTTAAAGAAAAAGGTGTATAATACATGCATGCTACCAGTTTGTACCTACGGCTTGGAGACTGTAGCCCTTATGGCGCTGCGCAGGTCACATAGCCTGATATAATGACAACAGGTGGACATGGAGCATTCTAGAATGGAGACCAAGGACGACAACAAGAAGCATGGAAAGACATAAAAAAAGATGGGTAGATGACATAAGAGCAGTGGCAGGCAAACAGTGGATTAGATTGGCGCAATATAGAGAAAGATGGATGCAATTGGGAGAGACCTTGGATGAAATACAACATTTACATGAAATGGTCATTCAGGTATAAAACAATCACCATGCAAGGCATTATTTGGATTAGAACCTAGAGTAGGATTTTCAACTTCCTTTTTGCAGCAAGTAATCATAAATGAAATTCAGGATGAAGATGACTTGGGAAGATAATATAGGAAAATTACAATGTTAATCTAAGAGAAGACAGTGATGGAAGAAGTTAGTAACCAAGAAGAAGTTTCTTTATTTGAAAATGATATTCAAAAAGCTAGAAAAAGCGCAGCACAAAATCTTGTGAAACAGACTAAAAATATGAAAGAAACTTCCGACAAGTCTCATCCACCAGCCAACAATGGGGATAATGTGACTATACTGATTCCAGATGTTGACAAAGGCAAAGGTGATCTCAGAAACATCATTGGAGTTACTCTTCAGACAAATGACACCAAAGTTGACACCAAACATGGAGTACTTCAGAAACTATGTTGCAGGTTTTATTTTTTTCTTATTAATTTATCTAACTTTTTGGAGTATTAATGTAGGTAATATGTTTTTAATTTTTTTTTCAGATCAGAATTCGACATTTGCCATCAAACTGTTTTAGAGGTAGTAGATGTAAAGCAAGGCACTGAAATGTTAAGGGTTGCAGTTTGTCAGATGCAGCTACAATAAAAACTGTTCCACAAACAGATACAAGTGCAAGAAGGCAATGCTATTCTGCAGTTTTAATTATCACCAAAGCACTCCATGTAAAAATAAATAATAATTTTATAAATAAGGAATTATTGTTTTTATAAAAAAAACTTATTATTTGTTTTACTTACTATTTATTTTGGCTTTGTAGGTATACTACAATAATTACATCAATAACCTCTCTGCAAATTTTTACAGTGACACTTTATGATTCTAAATAGAAAATCTGTGTCTAATAAGTTCAATTTTAATATTGTTGTATTCTCGGTACCAAAGAAAGAGAATATTTCCTAACTGTAGACTCTTTTCACTTGAACATATAAGTTACTAATATTCAAAAGTCAAACAAACTTTGTTCACACTGCTTCTTTTACAGTATAAATGAACCTCAGACCTCAAACGAAAATGAAGCTAATGCGAGTCCTATTTGAGTGGAAAACTGAACTCAAACGAAAATAATATGTCTATGAATCGCTTAAATAATTATGAAACATTGAAAATAAGGAAATAACCATTTCAAAAAATCTATAAGAATATCAGTAAGTGATAGAGCTTTTACCTTGTACTAATTGTCTGGACCTGTATTCATCTAAGCAATTGTGGAGAACAAATTTTAATTCCAATGCCAGTAAAAACCAGCATTCTGTTGCTTAAAACTTGTAATTGGGAAATTTGAAGATAAACCCAAAACTGATAGAACTGTTTCCCAGAATGAGACCAGACTTTATATTTTTGAAATTGAAAAACATGATTTAATATGCGCATAATATGCTTCACAATATATAACGACTCAGAGAGAAACATTTAGCAACTGTTGCATCACAGAGATTGCTAAATTATTAATTGAAATAAAGAAATATCAGCCTTCAACTTATAGTTTGTGTGAAGCTCTTAAACCAAAATATTTCGACACAATTGTGAGTGCCACAAAAAAACAAAACAGAGTTATCCACAAGACCAACTTTCGAACTCAATTGGACACTAGCTTGAAACAATGTTGTGAAAACAAAAAGAAATTTTAACTACATGTTTTGCAGAGATTTTAATACAGAAAAAAGTTTTAAAACAATTTTTTAGGGTAATTTATTAAAACAATGTTTAATAACTTTTAATTTATCATAACTAATAAAATTCTTTATGTACTTCACTATATAGGTTGTAAATGTCAAAATAAAAACAAATTACCTGGACTACCACAAAAGAAGTCATCTCGAAGTTGAGCCAGTTTTTTAGCAGATTTTACATGTTTTGATTTCAATATTCGCCACTTTTCCATATCTATCCAATTAGTGTCATTCTTAGAAGCCAATTTTACTTCCTAAAAACAATATTTTAAATAAGTTAAGATCAATTCTATAGGTATGTAGTTAATACCTATATTTATTTCTATATTGTTAATTTCATTTTCTATCTATTTTATTTTAAATATTTTATGAATGACTAATATAAAATGGCACAAATAAAATAACAAAACTTGTAATTTCAAGAAATAAACCTCAATAAGTAGGAGTATCAATATTTATGTAAAATCATGTAAAAATTGCCCAACTACTTACTTTTCCATAAATAACTTTCTTGCCCTTGCGGTTTGTTCCAGATTTTCTTGTGGAATTTGAGCTGTTGAATGGCCTAAGTGATTTGCCAATAGTCTGCTGTTCTCTCTGTTTCATTAACCTATATTCTTTTGGATTTTTTGTGTAAGGCCCAGCAGGGTCAATAGACTTTATTATATTTTGCCAAGCTATTAGACGATTGGCAATAGATGTTCCTCTTGTACTAAAACCCTGAAATAATGCATTCATAGTTTTACTAACAATTCAAAATTCTTTAAAAAATGAGAATTCTATGTTTTAGTTTATTAGAGATAGAAGATTAGTTGCATTTATGGTTCAAAACATGTAAATATTCATAATTGCTCAATATAAACATATACCAATAAAGATAACCTATTTTTTAACATTCAGACAATTTACTTAAAAATATTGTTGTTATTTACTCACCAGTTGTGGTTCTTTGAAATCCGGGATCGATTTTAAAAAGAGTGTTAAAATGAGGCAGGTAGTTGATATGAGTCCAATAAAAGTTACAAGAAATTTTGGATGATAAACAATAATAAAAATAAGCCATCGAATTATAAACATTATTCAAATTTTCAGTAGTCTTTCAAACCTTCCTTAAATTGGAATGTGCAATAAAAAAAGTCTATGGCATACCATTTTCAATAAAATAAATTATCTCCACTACCTGTAGCACAAACCCAAACATTGATTCACCAAATTCACATTAAATTTAAACCGCAAAACACATGATTGACTTTTGACTTTGACAACAAAAAACATATAAGCAAATCAAGTGATAATTTAATAAATTGTATTTTTTATTATGTACATGAGCATTTAGCTGGACAGCCAGCGCCGTATATGAAGTAAATACCACACGAGCACAACTAGCAAAGAAGCAAACTGTAATGGAACAGTAAAGTAAATATAGACGTTGATTCAAATATTACAGGGATATTATACGCAAAGAATTTAGATATAGAATAGAAATATAGAAGGTCCACTGTCATTTTTCAGCGTCGGCAAAGCTGATACACAAACACAAAACAATAGAAATTGATCATGATTTTAGTTCCTTATTTGTACCACTAGAGAGCGGTCATGTCAGAGCTATTAGATTACTGCTTCTAAAATGAGAAAGAGTGGAGCAACAAACGCAACTTTATTAAATAAATAAAAATTTATAAATAAAATATTATTTCAACTTTTAATAAATGAATCTTTTTAGAAAAATATTATTATTAAAATTTTTAATTTAAATATGTACGAATATACAAATAATATAATTAAAACTCTCTTCTTATAAACTATAAATAAAATAAAAAAATATAAAATAAACTAGTGAACAAATATAATGCAAAGGATATATTTTCATTTGTTAATGATGTCAGAGAGTTGATTTTACCGAAATATTATGTTTTAATGTCGTTAGATGTCATATCGTTATTTACTAACATACCAATAGATCTGGTCAGTAATATAATACAGTCAAAATGGAATCTCATCCAAAATTATACAACAATTCCCAAGGATAGTTTTTAACACTTCTGAACTATGTTTTTGAGAACACCTATTTTAGCTTTAATGATAAATTCTATCGAAAAATATTTGGAGCACCTATGGGTAGTCCACTCAGCACCATAATAGCAACCATCATTTTGGACCATTTGCTGGATGTCATTATTCCACAATTACCTTTTCCTTTACCGTTCATTAAAAAAAATGTAGACGATCTTATATGTTCTGTTCCTACTTCACAAATTCAAAATACCTTAAACATTTTCAATAACTTTAACAAACATATCCAATTTAATTTAGAGATTGAAAATGATTGTTCGATATCATTTCTGGACACCATAATAATAAGAACAGAACAAAACGAAATATTGATAGATTGGTATCAAAAAGCCAACACACTCTGGAAGATATTTAAACTTTTTTTCAAATCATCCTAGTCATCAAAAGTTTAATACAGTGATTGCAATGAAGAATAGGGTAAGGCATATTGGTGATGATAAATTCATAAACAGAAACTTAAATTTGCTGTTAAACTCTTTCAAAATAATGGATAGCCAAAACATATCCTTAAAAAATTGATATTTAACTCTGACATTTTTGACGGTCCCACTGATATCGGAGCAGTACAAACAATACAATATAAAAAAAACTACACTTTAAAACAGTTAACACCTTCTGTGACTAGTTTATTTAAACAATTTACCAACATTAAAATTGTCCAATATAATTTATTAGAAAACCGACAACTGTTTTCTAAAGTAAAAGACAAGACACCAACTGTAAATAAAACTAATGTTATCTACAAACTGCCTTATTTGGATTGCCAGAGCTGTTATGTTGGCCAAACTTCTCAACGGCTAAAACAAAGGGTCACACAACACAAAAGTGACTGCACAAAACAGAAGAATACATGTGCGGCAGTTGACCATCACTTAAAAACTGGCCATCAATTTGACTATTCAAATGTCAGGGTTCTACAGCAAGAAAATAATTACAAAAAAAGATTGTTTTTGGAAATGTGTCATATAAATAAAGAAAACTATGCAGTAAATTACAAGACACACAGGACAGTTGAGCAATATCTACTGTAATATTCTTAGTATGTCCAAATAATTTTTCTGTTTACAATTATATTTTAAATCACCCTGTATATTTTTAATGTGTTTTATTTGTTTCTTGGTTGTTTTTGTTTGCTCTGTTTTTATATTTAATTACTAGTGACCTAGGTGCTTTAACCAATACTGTCAGTACTGTTTTGAACATATTATGTACAACAACTTTTTTAAATATTTTTAACTCTTAATCTGTAAGTGATTCATTTTTATTCTCACTTGATTTTTATTTAACTTTTATCCATATTTTAGTTGTTTCCTGACGAAGCTGACAAAAAATCAGCGAAATATAAAAAAAGAAATTAAAAGAAAAAAAGAGTTTTTTTAAAAATAACAGACCGCATACCAGATACCCCAACACAATATTATATATATATATATATATATATATATATATATATATATATATATATATATATATATATATATTATATATATAAGGGGCTATATGGCTAGCCACCAAACTCTAGATGTTACTGGGTTTTCAGGACTAGTGGCACATATAGAAGCCACCTCAAAAAATACTTTGTGATAAAAATTTAATTATAATTTTTCATTTTTTATAAAATAACATTCCATTTAAAAAGATTTTATTTTAAATTCCGAATAAATAAGAAAATTTGCGCGTTAAAGGGTTAAGGCCGAAGAGGCGGCGTTTTAACAGTTCTGCGGCAAATCTTCAGGGAACTGCTCTGTTATTTTTGATCCTTTTTAGTGCATTTCTTATTTCCTTTTAATATATATCTGCAACTTATGTTTATCTGTCTCTTATTTTGTAAGTTTGGGGAGTATATACTATTTTCTCGAATGAACTTTCTGAATAATATAATAAAATAATGAACTAAAACAGTATGCATGCTACGTTAGTAATACAATATCCCCATTAAAAAAATTTAATCAAATATTAAAGCACATCTGGCTGAAATATATTGCCATGAATCAACAAAAAGTAATTTACGTTTATTAACAGGGTCACTGGTCAATTTTATGACAAGATAATGACGTTTACAATGAATTCCCGCGTTTATTCTACTGTTCTTAGTAAGAATAAGACACATACAGTATATTTAAGGATGGGTTTTATCTTATAAACACGGTTAAGAGAAGTGTGCAGTAGATTGGGCAATAATTTTAATTAAATTATTTTTATACCAGGACGAGTTAGAAAGTAAAATATATACATTATTATGATAATATAGATTAACAAAACAATTGAATCGGTTACTTCGAAAAGGCTACAACTCCAGAAATGTTAATTTTATAGGAAACGAAAAAAAAAATGTTTCATTTTGCTATTAATGAAGATATCTTTCTCTTTTCGGAGTAAAGTCTCAAAATGTGATGCATGTCGAAGTTTTATTAACAAATCCAACATAAAAAAGATATAGGTATACTGTAAAAAACAATTTAGTTTTTGGGGTTGTAACTTTTCCAAATAAACACTGATGATTTTATGATTAATAATAAAAAACTCCATTATTATTAAGGAAAAAAATTATTAGGTGGCAAAAAAAACATATTGAAGGTTAAGAAATGGTCTTTTAAAAATCTTCCTCTGGTGGTTCACCACTTTTAGGCCATAAAATCAGCTCATTATAAAAAAACATTTTGTCTTCTGGAACATATTGTACAAGTTTCTTGACGTTGTCCATTTTTTTGAATTAATAGGGATTTTTTCTGTGTAAGCAGACTCTGTTGGCAAACTAGAACAAACTCCAGTTGGTTTTCCCAAGAAAAATTCATGAAACATAAGCCCATCGATAAATGGACGTACTTTAACAATTCCCGGTTATTTGTTGTTACATTCGAACTCATTATATTGAGAAATTTGAAAAGTTATTTTCTCATGTTTGGTTTTTTTCCCATAGGACTCAATGGAGAGTACAGTTTTCTTACAATGCATGGGCCACCATTTTTTGAATTCCAAAACTGTTTCATTTTTTACTAATTCTATTGTATTAAGAGATTTTCTTGACAAATTTTTTATCAATTCGTAATATTCTTCAGGAAGAAAAATTCGGTCCTGCTTGCGAATGAGTCTTCTTCCATATCCATCGTAGTTTGTTGTCCTTGGCAGCTGTGTGGTCGTCATGTAGAGTGTTTCTGATAGGCATATGTCATCTGTGTTCAGATGTCACAGAGATGAAAACCCTTAGAAAAATCGATGACCCCACTCATTTATTCAATATTATTTGACTGAAATAGCGTGCCTAATTTACAATTATCTGATGGTTTCTCAAATTTAATTTTACTTTACTGTTTAAGTTTAAATCAAAAACAAATATTTTATTTTAATACAATGATTGCGATCTGTCCCACTAGTAATTAGTAGTAGGTACTTCTGCCAGAATAGCATTTACAATAAAAATAAATAATAAGAAGTCGACTGCACATTGTACACCGCGATATATTAGCTTGTGTCTACGTCGCAAAACTCTTCCATGATAATCGCGAAAGCGCTCGCTACTAGATGGCACTCTGGAACGTTCTCGTAGCCTCGTTTTGGCTTTATATAAGCGGCGATGCGCAACGAAACCTCAGTTCGAATCCAAACAGCCTATGGTGGCGAACGCGGTGTTGAGTAATGAGTAAATATTTTACGACTTACGTATTCCCGTTTACGTATTTACGTCTACGATAAATTATAAATTATGGATAAGTTTTTAAAAAGAAGTGCAGAACCATCTACGTCTGAAAGTGGCAGTAGCAGCAATAAAAAGAAAAACAGATTCTACATTGCTAAATATCTTCATCGTCCTTCTGAACGTCCTTCACAAACAGAAATACAGTTTTCTCTTGGCAACCACTACTAATGAAAAAGCATTATTAGCAAGTTATAAAGTTGCTTATCGTGTTGCCAAAACTAGTAATCCGCACACAATTGCTGAAAATCTGATTTTTCCAGCAGCTGTTGAAATGGTACATATAATGTGTGGGGAAAGAGAGGCTGCAAAATTAAATACAATACCTCTATCAAATAATAGTATCCAAAGAAGAATTAGTGATATGGCAGAAGATATTCAAGCTTAAGTTGTGGAAAATCTTAATAAATGCACGTACTTTTCTCTTCAAATGGACGAATCCACAGATATATCTAACTGTGCCCAATTCATTACGTTTGTAAGATATGATACAAATAATGGCATTCAAGAAGATATTTTATTTTGTTCCTCATTGGAGACCAATACCACTGGAAAATGTTTACTCGACACTTTTGTGAAACGTACAAGTAAATATGATATTGACTAGGGTAAATGTATTGCTATATGCACAGGTGGCGCTAAAGCTATGACAGGACATAAATCTGGTCTTGTCGTTAAATTACAAGAAATAATGCCGAATGGAGACATTGTTTTTTACATCGAGAAGCTCTTGCGTCAAAAGCTTTACCTCCTGAAAATGACTGTGTTATGAAAACCATCATTAAAGTTGTAAATTCCATTAAAGGAAAAGCTTTACAGACCCGTATTTTTAGAAAAATTTGCGAAGACATGGGTTTTTTATTTAAAAATCTTCTCTATCACACCGAAGTAAGGTGGCTTTCAAGGGGCAACGTCTTAAAAAGAGTATTTCACTTAAGAGCAGAGCTTTTAATGTATTTGAAAGATGAGAAGTCCCCATATGAAAATCAATTTTCCGATCCTATTTGGCTTCTGAAACTAGGTTTCCTTGCTGATATTTTCGAGCAATTAAATATTTTGAACAGTAATTTACAAGGTCGCGACATTAATATAATTACAGCCACAGATAAAATTAAGGCGTTTCTAAGAAAAATCGATTTATGGTCGACCTCACTTGGCAAAAAACAACTCGATTCATTCCAGTGCCTTCAGGAAATAATGGAAAATGTATCCAATTACAGTGCTACAAATTTTGAACAAGTTTTTGCTGACATGCATGTTACTTTGCTCAATTTAAAACAACAGCTCTGTGATTATTTCCCCGAAGAAATTCAAAACAGTTACGACAGTTGCAGATGGATACTAAATCCGTTTTTAGCCGATTCCTTTCAGCATGCTGAAATACCAATAAACATGAAAGAAAAATTTATTGAAATATCAAGTGATGGAATGTTGAAGCACCAATTTTTTTCCCAGAACTCGGACCAATTTTGGACCAAAAAGATGCAGGAATACCCCCAGTTGGCGAGTGAAGCTGTAAAATGTTTGGTTCCATTTGTAACATCATATTTGTGTGAGTTAAGTTTCTCGTCTATGACTGCCATTAAAACAAGAGTTAGAAATCGTCTCGCACTTAAAAATGATATAATTGTGTGTGTCTCAAATACACAGCCTAGATTTGAAAGATTAGTTTCACAGAAACAGGCGCATAGCTCTCATTAAGATTATAATATTTGACTTTATTTTACTCTTTTATTTTTACGGACTTTAATATTTAGTTTTATATTTCGTCTGATAATTAATTGTTAATTTATATTTATGGCGTTGTTAAAATAAAAATACATGATCTAAGTGGTGCTTTTGTCTTATTTTGGAAATGTTCAGCGACCCCCCTAATACCTCATGGCAACCCTCCAGGGGGTCGCGACCCCCACTTTGGGAAACACTGTTCTATAGGATAGATTATTGTCGATTGTTAACGCCCTGTATATCAGCGAAGTACACCCTCTATAATTATACTATTAAGATAAAAACATACAATGTCATAAGCTGTATAAAATAACATTTATATTTATAAGTGATAAGTAATGATAACGAGACAAAGAAGTATCTTTAATTAGTAAATAAGTAGAACCATTACCAGTTATTAACCTATGACTCTTAAATAAAATATAACTTTTGAAAAAATTGTTACAAAATGAACACAGTTCATCGCGCGGATGTTTTGGATAGTCGCTTCTGAAAGGCAAGTGTAACCGCTGCATATCTACGGCATTGTTTATCTCCGTATATGATGGATCAGTTAAGAGTCATTCCGCAATTTAGCTAGTTAATTTTTATTAGTACTAGACTCTGGAGTGCTGTGACGGTGAGTGTGTAATTGGATTTGACAGTGTGATTTTTTGTTTTTTCCTCATTTTATCGTAGAATAACATGGTAAGTAGAATTATTTTTTATTGAACAAATTTTGAAACCACCGAAGGGACTTAAATTTTAAAATATTTAAGAAGTCCCAAATTCATAATATATATAAAATACTAACGAAATACTTCTTAACAACAAGAAAATCATGTAGAAAAAAGATGCGAGCAGGAGGTTGTAATAACCTTTCAGCTAGTTACTGGCATTTGAGCTACACAAAGTTCTTTTTCCCATTTTCTGACATCTTACATGTTGCGTCTGTTTGAGCTACCGGAAAATGGTTTTGGTCTGATAAAAGGCGTTGTGGTGGTTCTACATTAGCAAGACTATCAGCATTTTTGTTCCAGCAATTGCTTTATTGACTGGCACCGATAACAATGCTCTTTGTTGTATTTCGCTAGTTGTTAAAGAGACTGTTTGCAGCCCCGAGTCATTATGCACTTACAAGTTGACTTATGACGTGAAACGAAATTACAAGAAAAGGAAAATTAATTTAATAAGGCAATGTTTTTTTGTCGTGAATCATGGCTATTTACGCAATAAAACAGTACATTTTATGTTGTCGAAATCAAATATCTTAAAAGGGTAAAAATAATAACTAACAGATACCAAGTAAAGGACACAAACAGGTGAAAACCAACAGGAGGAATCAAATCTTGAAATGGTTGAAAATATTGATTAAGTATTTGACAAATTATAGAGAGTCAATAAAAAAATGGTAGTAAAAACTAAAAACCAGAAGGACGTAGAAGGGAAGACCGTGATAAATAAGTAGGAAATATAACGTGTAACATTACTATATAAAGAAAGGAAATACAAAAACAACAATGGCCTTAGCAGAAATGAGAATAAGTTTAATATATACAGTTAAATACTTATATTATTTTTTTGATATATACAGGCACTTCAAGGAGAAAATAAAATGGTCCGGTGCCTGTTAATATCTTTTGCTGGTTTGCTAAAAACCTTATTAATATCTTCATAGAATATATAGACTGTTCTTATAAGTATTTTTGTTTCTTATATTGATTTCAATATTTAATGTGTGCCTTTTTTCAACAACAAACAGTTAAAAACAAAAGGAACCAACTTTATCATCATGGTTATCATTCTCCACTCTACAATCTATGGTCGGTTTTGGCCTCTTCCACAATTCGTCTCCAGATTCTTCTACACTTTGCTACATCTCTTCACCTACTGATCTACATCACTCTCAAAGTCTTCCTTATCTCTTCCATTCTTTAGTACATTTTCCTTCTTGGTTTCTTCGGGAGAATACTTTCCAGGCTTCTCCTCGACTCTACAAAAAATGTTCTACCTTCCTATCAATTCTTCTTCAAAATTACTTCTACACTGGAAAATAATTTTTTCTTACTTCTTCTTCTTCTTCTCAAGACGCCGTCTTCTTTCGAAGGTTCGCAATCATCATGATTATTTGAACTCTGTTCCTTCTCCTTTAAAAATCTGGTTACACGCGCAATTAAACCACTCTCTAAAATTGCACAGTAATAACATTCGTCGCCTTCTAGCGCTACCCCTTCCTTAAAATTTTTCCCTGCATGATATTCTGCAGAAGGCGGTATATTTTGCTTCTTTCATCGCATAGTCATGGTATTGTAGTTTTTGGATCTTTATTTCATTATTCAGCTCTGTTTCTTTTGAAAATATTTTTCATTCATGACTCTGTCTACGCATGATATTCTCAGGATTTTTCTTTATAGCCTGATATCTGAAAATCTTTTTCTGATATTTTGTCCGTTAATAATAAGTTCCTCCTTCTCGTTCCTTGAGTCCTTGTCAGGACGTGGTGGCACTATAAATATTATTCTCTCCATTGGTTGTCATCCTGATATGGACGGCTTCAAGTAGGGATTTTCAGTAGTCTTCATTTAGTCTGCCCATCATGTTGGAGATCTCCCTCTTGGTCTTCGACCTTCTGTCTTTCCTTCTACTACCAATAGTTCCATGGTCCCCGTACTTCTAGCTGGCTGAAGTAAATTATGTATGCTCGTTTTGTTAATAGCCTGTTTTTTACATGAAGCTCTTCCAGAATTGACATGTTGGTTCTATGTTCTGTCCAGGGCGCGTGTAAAATTCTTCTACATGCCCACATTTCGAAGGCTTTGGTCTTATTCCTCTTGATTTTTAAGTCCATGTCTTAGCTTCGTATGTAACAATGGGAAAAATAAGGACACTGACCAACCTATTTTTTGTTATTGTTCAGTCTTTACATATTTGATTCAGTTTAACTGTTGTGATTTGAGCCATTGCTAGTTTAGGTTTGATTTTTGAGAAGCAATCGCCATTGTTGGTTATCAGGAAGCCCAAGTATAAACATCTGTCTACTACTTCGAATTTCTCCACTTGGTGTATCTGCAGTAGATTAATATTTGCTTTGTCTAGGATCGGTATTAATCTGAAGTCCGAATTCTTCCCTTATCCGGCATAGCCGTTTTGTAATGGTAATAATTTCGACTTCATTTCTTCTTCATGTACCATGTCATTTCAGAACGTTGGTTACCACCATAGCTATCTTTATTTTATTCACTGCCACCCTAAATAACATGCTTGTATTCACACCATACCAATCTCGCAAGTTCTGCAACCATGTGGTTCTTCTTCTTCCTAGACTGCGTTTGAATGCTATTTTTCCTTGCATGATATTTTGTAGCAACCTATATTTGGGACCTCTCATTACATGTTTGAAATACTCCAGCTTTCTCTGCTTGACACTTTTTATGATCTTACTAGTCTTGTATTTCTCTGCGTATCTTGGCATATTTTGTTTTGTCTACAGTTTTAATCCTCCCGTTCTTCATTAACTTAAGTATGTCGTGGGTCATCCAGTATTTTTTCTTTTTCTGGCACTTTTTATTGAGTGGCACTATATTAATAAAAATGAATCGCCGTAATGTTTGAACGGGCATCACTTCCGAACGACTGAACCAAATTACATAATTTTTTGTTGTTGTATTAGCTATTATCAGAAAAAAGTTTGTGTAAAAGGTAATTTTCAAAAAATTGTACGGAAACAACTTAAAAACAGTTTTCTTGTCATTTTAAATTGCAATATAACTAATATATTCATTACTGTAATGCGGTGGAGCACCATCTTGTAGAAACTACATATTTTGCCTTATTCCAATATTCAATTGTTCCAAATACTCTTGTAAATCGTTTGTCAAGAACTGCAAATAATTCTCACCATTTAAATTGTTGAAAAGAAATACTGGGCCTATTAGATTGTTATACACAATTCCAAACATTAACTTTGAAAGTCCTTTGGTGATGAATCGTTTTTTTGGCATGAGGATTTTCGTCGGCCCAAATGTACTGGTTATGATAGTTTGTTATTCCATTTCTACTAAAGGTAGCCTCGTCGATAAACAAAATATTTCTAATAAAATTAACATTACTAGTGTTTTCCATTAACAACCAATCGCAAAATCAAATCATTTTAGGATACTTAATCTTCAACCAATAACTCTTGAACCGTTGTTAAGTGATAGGGTTTAAGCAGCTGATCCCTCCAAACCCTTACGTGCATTACAGCTATAACCCTTGTACTTGTTCCAAGGACTTCTTCACTGATTTCTGAAACGTCTTCATCGGTTGCATCCATTATTGGACGACCACTATTGCCAGCAATTTGCGGTTGGAATGTACCCGTTTCCCGTAAACGACGATCAATGGTCAGAAATAATCGTCTATCGGGTGTATTTTGATTAAGGTATTTTGCTGCATAACGCCTTGCGGCTGCTGCACTATTTCCTTGACATTCACCTACGATATTCCCGATGGTTTATTGAAATCATAATTTATTCTAATCCGACTTACCCAAAGTTAAATGCATATCTGCTATTTCCTGAAATGTGTAGGCCATTGTAATATCAATATTTTTAATATTAATCTTATTCACACAATAAATGATAGCTGCAAATTATTGACTATTATTGATAAAACTGTTTGCAGTTATTGAATCCGTAGAAACTAATTGTAATTTTATGGCCAACTAGGAAAAAACTAGTTTTTCAAAAAAGTGATGAGGCAAAAAAGTATTAAAAATGTGTTAAACTAATGATGCCACAAAATTCATTTGATTTAAACGTACTCAAAAGTTTGGGGGGATTTAGGGCTGCACACCCCTCTTAAAATTTTTCTGTGTGCATAGATTTTGTTGTTTTTTTTTTGTATGAAAAATGCTTTTAGAACAAGAAAGTAACGTGTCCATTTTTATTACAAAATGTCAAGTAGTTTAGGGGATAATGCAAAAAAAAACAATTTTTATTTTGTAAATTCAAAGGGCTGTAACTTTTTTTGTTTACACTTTTGTACTAAGATAAGTTGGATTCAATCAATTTATTTTTGTCCCCGGAATGTGTGATTTAATTTATGACATACCTTTTTGAAACACCCTGTATATTGTTAGGAAGATTTTAAGTTCAGCGATAAGCTCGCACCTGTTTATTAAAATAAAATAAAATAAAATAAAATAGAATATGGAATATGGATAAAATAGAATATTTCTGGAAGAATTAGGGTTTCCCCAGTTAGTTGCAGTGACGGAACACTGGCTTGAAGTTAATGAGCCAATTTTCATTCAAGAATATACCACAATTGCTAGGTATGATCGTCCAAGTTCAGCTCATGGTGGCACTCTGATTCTTTCAAATAACAATGATTTTTCTTCAGTTTCGAAATATGACTATTTGCTGGGTGATGACTACTTCGAATTTTCTTTGATTTTTAATAAGAAATTTAATCTATACATTATTTGCATTTATAGATCACCTAGCTCTAATACTGAACTATTTTTTCAGAGCCTGCTAAATTTGTTAGATATTCTGCCCATTAAAAGCAGAAAAATTTTATGTGGTGATTTTAATATTGACTACGCTACTGTTTGTGCGACCCAACTGTCTTTGGTAACTATTTTTGAATCATATGGTCTCACAATGCACGTTAATTCTCCAACAAGAATCTCAAAAACATCATCCTCGACAATTGATTATGTG